TTTTTTTTTTTTGAGATTTGAAATCATCCCCTCACTTTAAGGGCGCTCTCTTCCGCAAGTCTAAAAGTGCTTTTTACTGTTGCGCTAACTTTTCCGAGGAAGCTGTGTCTGAGCTCGGTCATCCAATCAGAGCCTCCCATGTGTGGACTCTTCCTGCTAACCTGTCCTGGAGATATATATATATATATATATCTCTTTGTCGGTGTCCACTGTCCCTTCTGTGCCTCTGACTGATTTCCCATCAAACAAATGGTTTGTTTCGCTCTTCGGGATCTCTTGAGGTTGATTAGTTTGAAAGCGTTTGCAGTGTTCTCCTGATTAAGGCTTCCTCCCCGGTTTGCTTCCTTGTGTTGTCCTCCCTTTTTCTTAGTGTTTTGCGATTTGCAAATATCTCTTAAGGGTCTAATCCAAATTATATCGCATCATTGATTTAGTTTCCTTACCGTTTCATTTTCTGCTGATTTTCATCTAGACTTGGAGCAGCTTGTAGAGCCGGAGGAGGAGGAGCCTCAAAACCAGAAACCAACCGCCACGCCGCCCAGCACCCCCGTCAGAGCAGACGAAGGTAGGTTGCCCTGACATACTCGACACAGCCGGAGCGGCCCGGCTCTGCCTGGTTCGGCATGGGTTTTCTCCGGTCCTCTTGCTGGGTTTTGGGTCTTCTTTAGGGTCTACAGAGGAGACGCAGAGGCTCCTGCCCGCCCACCTGCCTGCCTGCCTGTCTTTGGGTGTGTTCATGTTGTGGTCTTTAATAATAATAATACTACTACTACTACTACAGGTGCTGTGTTTTCTGTAATAACAGGCCAAGAGGTTCTGATCATTTAACCAGGTTCATCCTTGAGAGATGGAAAATCACTGTAATTCAGTTTCCAGATGTAATGTCAGGAAATAGTTTGGAAAGACAATGACTGACATCTTTCTACTTTTATATTCATTTTTGTCCCTCTTGGTCTTTATTACTATTGGATTACACCTATAAGAGAACTGGTTCTAACTATAGTTGTTTAAATCTCCATTTAAACAATAATTGGCATTATTCCAGTCACCTCAAATTTATTTTATGAGCTACTGTCCGCATGAGGGAGGAAGAGGAAGAGTAGCTTTGAGCTCAGGTGTAATCTAATACCTGAAATGTTGTGTAACATATCTCTCGATGTTCAGTATCTCCTTTACCCCTTCACTTCCATTCTCCATCTTTTTGGGGTCTTCTAAGAATGGTTCCCAACCATTCTTTTTAAGATTGTCCTCTGGTATTTTCTTTCTCTCTTATTTCACATTTTTATTTATTTTGATTTAACACTGTGCTCGTGGTTTGATCTGCATAGACATTTGTTTCTACTTGTGCTTTTTCTTCTTTGTGGCTGCGATTACAATCAGGAGATGGAAATGCAAAAGAGTACCTGTTGCCATAGTAAGTACGTACTGTTCCACCTCCTAATTACCCATCACCCATCCATACCTGTGTTCGGTCATTTACCCCCTTTTGTTTTTTCTCTCTGCATGGCTTCACTAGTAGAGCTGTCCTGTGATCTGAACTAACCCGTTTGAACTCGGTTCTCTGAACTCCTCTGGATCTCTTTCTCGGGGTTGATGGGGGTTATTTCAGAGTCCCTCCTCCTCTTTTAATTAGACACATTTCACTGTTTCAAGAGTGTTAAAAAGTTTAAAAAAAGTAACTATTGCAAGAAATACGAAGAACTTGCTTTGATTGATTTGATTTATTTCAGATGTGATCCTCTGATCTGTAATATGCGTTAAAGATTAAATGATAAAGTCTAAACGAAAGTGGAGGATGTTCTTGAAGTAAACCTCACAACTCGCCAAACCTTTTTATGTTTATAACCTCTCTTTTCTTCCTGCCAATTATTCACTGTCAAAATAACCAAACCTCTCTTTGCACATAAGCACATGTTTATCACTGTTCTACGGCACTGTGTGTTGTTGTTTTATGGAAAGAAATGAAATCGGGTAATGTTTTAAAAATGTGTTGAATGTTGTGTTTGTCTTACAGACGAGTCCTTCACCAGGTACATCAGTGCTTTATTTGGGTGTCGCTTTCCAACCAAACTTGCTGCTGTCAGCTGTTGCAACTCACTGTTTAGCTTAAAGACGGTTGAGGTCCGGTGCTCTTGGCTGTGGTGGTGCTTTTTATTTTATCTGTCTCTGTTCTGACAGACACGAGAGATGTAAAATTCAGACTAATGTGGAGTGTTTTCTCGGGTCTAAAGGTTTTTTTTTTTTTGGTTTTTTTTCTCGCTGGTCTCCGTAGCATGTGAGCGATATTAAAAATAAACAAAGCCGTAGTCGCAACGTGTGAGCTTGTACCCGAGCATGAGGCAATGGTTCGGATGCTGGTGGTCCCTCTGGATGGTCGACTGAAGCTATCAAAGAAACGGCACTTGTTGCTTCTTGAGTCTTTTTGCTGGGAGTATCTTTAAAGGACGAAGCTGGCTTTTCTATCTTAACTATCTGGTGACGGGTGCATGATTTCAGACAGAATTGGGACAAAAGCAGAGCTTGTTTTCAGCGAGCGTGGGTTTTCACATTTTATGTTTTATTCCCATGAATCGGTCCCGTCTACTCTTGACATTTTAATGTGTCAAGTTGACTAAAATAAACTATTGCAGGGCTTCTTAGCCCAACGTAACCGTCCTCAGACGCTTACTGTAACACCCTGGGACAAACACAAAGGCTGGATTCATGCTCTACAGTTACATTATTTAAAAAATACACTATCTTGAAAACCGGAATCCGCATTAGCAAGTTGATATATCTTTTCAAGAATAATTTCTGCATTAATGGAAAGACGGATTACTGTAGTTAATTGTGATCTGTGAAAACAAGACATACATTTAAGACCAGAGGGAACAGCGCTATATAGTGTCTATACTCCCAGCAACTGGATTACATTGCTATTAAATAATTAACAAAGTCCTAATTTCATCTTATTTCTCCTTGAGAGCTGTGCCAGTTATACATGAATATAACTAGATCCCGCTCCCCTGACGTGTTGTGTTACCTCACTTGTGTTTATATCTCTATACTTCTGTGTTGTAGACTTTGATTTGTGTTTGTTTGTACACAGGGTGCAAATGAGCCAGGGAACTGCACTCATTAAGATTTCCCTGTTTAAATGAAGGTAAACACCAACATGCTGTGTATCAGCTTGGGCCTGTCAAAATGAGGATAATGAGAGCAAAGTGGTGCCTTTTGTTGCTTATTCTTAAAGCTAAAAATATGGTGAGTCTTTGCTTCTCTGTCATGTGATGTAAGAGAGACGCTGCATCTTGGTTTGGCTTTTGATCTGAGGAAGGTTTAGGTCAGTTTAAGGGTCCGGTGTAATATTTCATCAGCGTGTTTGTGAATCTAGTGGGAATGTTGCCTTTTGAAGTGTTAGTCCTTTGTACCCTTTATATTGCTTAAAGACGGTAACTGATTCTAAATCACGTGGATTTAATAACTTGTCCGGGGATCGATTGGCAGCAGCCTCAGTGGTGTGTGTGTGTGTGTGTGAGCTCAGCAGCGCAGATCCATCAGTCTGTCGTCCGAGATCAATAACTCTCCCCCTTCCTCCTCCCACCAGAGTCCTTACACGAGCAGACCTATAAGGACGAGAGCGACGCCGCCACCCTGAGACAGACCCTTCCAGACCTGACACCTGATGACCCCTCCGATGCCCCGGCACTTCCTGCCGAGGAATCCGCCCCCGCCGGCGCCGACGCGGCTGAGGGGGAGGAACCCGCTGACACTGGCGACCAGGAGGGAGAAGAGTCTCCCAGCAAATCCCCCTCCAAAAAGAAAAAGAAGTTCCGCACACCGTCCTTCCTGAAGAAAAACAAAAAAAAGACTGAGTCCTAGATTGGAGAATGTCTGATCGGTCCTCAAGGCTGGCCGCCGCCTTTTTTTTTTTTTTTTTTTTTTTTTTTTTTTTGTTTTTGTTTTTTTTCCCCTGCTTTTTGTCTGCACCCTTTGAGCTAGCCACAGTAAACACACAGTTATGCTTTTTTTTGTTGTTGTTTTGATATAATTCGTCGCTGGCTTATTAACCTGTTTTTCCTCATTAGTGCGTGCCAATTTTGTATACAGTGTAAAAATGATGGATTGCATAAAGGTTTTGAATTATTAGGGGCTTTTTTTTGTTTTTAGTTGCGAGTGATTCATTCTGTCTTCTCCGCTCCATCTGGCCTTTGATGCATGTCTATTACTACAGGCCCACACACTTACTGTGAGGTTTTAGGGTTTAATGCTAAACTGTTGTAACCACTAGAATGTATTGGGATTGTATCAAAAATATGTAAGTGTCTTTTAAAATCAATGAATGCAGAAAGAGAAGCTTGAACTCTCATTTAACTGGCGGTCATTTTTTTGATAGTTACAACCACAAATTGAATCGTGCTAACTTTACCACTGAAGCTAATTACATGTTAGCAGGCCGGGAGAACTACAGTTGGGATACTTTCTGTTGATTATTTATGGGAAATGCAGTCATACAAAGTCCATATTAATGTTTACGTAATCCAATATCTTCATTAAATCTTCCACAAGCTAAATCTCATCTTTGTGTTTGACTTTTTAAACTTAAGCTCTTCGACCTGAAAGCATTAAACACGGCCTTAACTTGCAGGTTGTGTAGTGCTGTAAGGTCTTCATGTGATGTGGAAGTTGGGTTAAATACTTCACAAAACCAGATGAACTCCTGCAGATGATGGTTTGAACCTACAGATTTTGAGCTAGAATCACAGCATGAGCATTGTGCTTTCTTTCTTTTTTTTTTTTTTTTTGTTTTTTATTCCAAGGGTTGATAACATATTTGCTACTGGCTGTAAGTGGTTAGTAGGAAGTAATGTGTAAAAAACATTTATTATTCTGATTATTTGAGCCTGGCTTTGCGTGCTGTGAGGGAGCACAGTGAACTTCCTCATTTTGAAACTCACTGGGAACTCGTTCCACATACTCGATCATAAACATAGATACAGATGTTCCAGAACATTTAAACGACGTCACTGTTCCGAAGCTGTGTAGATCAACCTGGATGGTTTCCAGTTGCAGTAAAGACACAAAGTACACTGGAGAAACTTTTTTTTTTTTTATTATTTAGCTGATGTGTAATCAATGGAGTGATTGCATATGAGCTGTGCTTGAGGTTGCAGGGCATTATACAAAGGCCGTCTCGTTGCATTGCTAACTTCTGTGTATTCATCCTGTTTTAGTAAAAGGCAAAACTAACGGGAAGCTTCACCTAATCTGAGACGCTTGATAAGCCTTTGTTCACAGATGTTGTACCTACATCGTTGCATACAAGCTGAGAATGTCTAAGTCATGAAGGGCTGCATCTAAAGAGTGCTTACAGTGTGTACTGCTCAACTACCCCTTTTATTTGAAATGTATTTTCTTAGCTTCAGTGTGCTAATAACAATACTTTAGTCCATAGTTGTTGTATTCTTTGTCTAATCTTCCAATTGAGATGTCTCAGCATTATTATATCTACAGATTTACCACTTCCACCTTTTTTTTTTTATGGTCCTGCCTCTTTTACAACCATGAATAAAATAAATCCACTTACCTTGAAAATCAATATTGTGTGATTGTAGTTATTTAAGTAAAATCTGCAGTGTAAATGTAGAAAGAGACTGTAAGGCATCTCCTTATATGCCCATATATGAGTCTATATAAGTATTTGTTGATAGATTAAGATGTATCAAGCATTTCACAAATAGCAACATTTAGTTTTAAGGTTTATTATCTGATTGGGTAATAACATACATTATTGTTCTGCAGAGCTTCTTTTGTCCTTTGTCTGTTCTTCTAATTATCTGTGTTCTGTATATTCCTTTATCTCCATCAACAAATTTAAGACTAATTTTGTGTCTTTGGTGCCTTACCTATTTTATTAAGTCTTACTAAAAGAATGTCCAATCTTCTGCTCTTTTTACGTATTAAAAGGCTTTTTAAATATTTTGGTTTGTTTCTTCAATTTATATAATTAGTTTGGTGTGTTAGCATGCTAACATTCCCTGATCAGCACAAAGTACAGCTGTGGGTGAAACTATTGGACAAAATTACAACTAATAAGTCAGGAGATCAAGGCTATTGCACCTCTGGGGACCATGAATATATCAAATTTCATAGAAGTTTATGCAGATTCTGTAATAAAAAATACAATTATTTTCACGTTATTAATGGGATAAGAATCAATCATTCTCATGTATTTGTGTTGGGATTGTTGTAAACTACTCTTTATTACACCATTTTTCTCTGTGTGACCGGTGCCCTTATTTTGAAGGATGAATTTATTCTCAACGCTAGGGGCGCTGTAGGATAATCTCATACCGGAAGTAGCTCCTGTCTTCTTCTTTGTTTTGAACTTTCACCTTAGACTTGTGCACGTTGGAAAACCAAGCGAAACAACGTGGATAGTACAAATAAAACAGAGTGGTATTTATTAAATTCAGAGTTGACAAAGCCAACGCGCCCCATGTTTCCTTCCGCCTGGATTTAATACCTCGACTCCTCTGCGCGGCTAAAAGGTAAACGCTGCCTCTGTGTGATAATGTCGGTTTGTTTACTAACTGTGGACGGCTCACAGTAAAGCTAGCTAGCTAGCTATAAAGTCGCTCCGTCTGTAATGTCAGTGATGTTCGCTCAATCAGTCCGCTAACGTTACAGATGGGGAAGGTACCGAAGAAGAAGAGGAGCCTCGCCGACAAGGTCCGCAAAACCAAGACCTCCACTGAAATCAAAAATAATCCCTTTGAGGTGAAAATCAACCGGAAGAAATTTGAGATTTTGGGGAGAAAAAGCAAGCATGATGTGGGTCTCCCTGGTGTGTCTCGATCCAAAGCCATTAATAAGGTGAGTTAGAGGAAATCTCATGTCAGTTACTTTCACACTTGATCTTTAATAACTGATCTCTCTGCGAGCAAGATTTCAGTAACACATGGTATGTAATCATACTATTAACTGACATACATAAAGCAAAGGGAAATATTGATTTGTATAAACAAACACCATCTGCATGTTAACACTCTGACTTTTTCCAGTTCTTCAATCTTCATCTTCTGATGATGTAGCCCAAAAAATTCTACACGTAGCACCAATTTTATGTGGTATTCAATTAATGCCATGAAATCAACTTTATTTATATATGTATTCATTGCAGTTGGTAATTATACCAAATGTAATTGTACCTAATTAACTGTAGAACATTTTTTGTTCGATGAGTAATTCTGACCGTTAAGATTTTCTGAGTTCATGCAAACAGAGAGTACTACGAACAGAACTAAGAGCAAGTTCCAGTGAGGATAAAAGAAGTATCTGTACAGGTAGCATTGGATTAAACATATTAAATATTACTTCTAATGTATGATTTTTATATGTATATGTGAGATTTTTGCTGCAGATCTGATAAATCGCTCGGTGCAACATTGCCGTAACTCTTGTGGTCGTCACGTGCAACTCTTTATTTTTCGGTCCGTAGAGAAAAGAAACCCTCCTGAAGGAATACAAACAGAAGGGCAAGTCCAGCAAGTTCATCGACAGACGCTTTGGGGAGTATGACACCAACATGGCGCCAGAAGACAAAATCCTGCAGAGGTTCGCGATGGAGAGACAGGTCAGTGATGTTGTTGTGATGTGTACAGGACACAGCAGGCCCCATTTGTCCCTGCTTTGACTTACTTCTGTAGTTTCGGCCTTCTGAATGATTCATTTGTTACTTAAAAATGTCAAACAACAAATCTCACTACGTATTTTTTTTTAACCCTCCGCCAAACTTTGCTTTATTACTCAGCGTGTCCACGATAAGAAGGATCTGTACAACTTGAACGAGGAGGAGGAGCTGACTCATTATGGCCAGTCGCTGGCTGAGATGGAGAAGTTCAACGACAATGTGAACAGCGACGATGAATCAGAAGAGAAAGGTCTTTTATCAGGTGAGTGTTGCTGGTGTCCAAACACCATTTACATATTTTGGGATTTAAACATAAATCATAAAAAAGACTCCCTACTATATCGTCAATGGCTTTACATTCCCAGCCCACAGCTGGATTTGATAAGTCGTGTTATAGGTGACAGTCTGGTACATAATAGTGACACGATTTCTCTTTCTCGTCCAGCCGAGCTGACCGCCACCCACTTTGGAGGAGGAGGTCTCCTCAGAAAGAAAACCTCAGAGGAGCAGCAGCAGGAGGGGGAAGACAACCACCACAGAGCCAAGTCCAGACAGGAGCTCATTGAAGAGCTCATCCAGAAGTCCAAGCAGGAGAAGGTGAGCCGGTAACAGTTTGAGTTAATCCCACATTACAGCATCCTGTTGCTGTAGAATGTTCTCTACCACAGCGGAAAATAGTCCCCAACAAATACACCATTTACTCCTGTTAGAGTAACTTCAGCTTAATGCTGCTCGCTGACATTATTTAAAACATGAAAGTGAGCTTATTTGTGCTCCAGATGATTAACCTCTTTCATTTATTTTGACTTTTTCAGCGGGAACGACAGGTGAGGAAAGAGGAGTCTCAGGAGCTGACTGAGAAGCTGGATCTGGAATGGAAGAGCATCCAGGCTCTGATGGTGAAAAAGACGCCCAAAGGTGAACGCGTCGAGGAGGAGAAGCCCAAGGTAGAGTCACAGCAGTCAGCGAAATGTTGTTCCTCCTCTATGTGCGTTCATTCATCGGTATCGGAGCCTGATATTTATTTGTTCTCTCTCTGTTTCCTCTGTGTGCTGCAGCTGGAGCAGTATGACATGATGGTCAGAGAGCTGGTCTTCGAGATGAAGGCTCAGCCGTCGGAGAAGCTGAAAACCCCAGAGGAGCTCGCCCGCGAGGAGAGGGAGAAGCTGCAGAAACTAGAGGTATGCTTACCGTGCAAAGGTAACACTTTCATCTCAAAACGCAAAACAACTTCTAGTCGTTAGCACATATTTTGATGCTCTCTTTGTGCTCTGGTTTTCTTCCTAGGCGGACCGCCTGAGGAGGATGATGGGAGATGAAGTCGGGGAGAGTTCAGGGAGTCAAATCCACATCTCTGCCGATGACCTCAATGATGGCTTTATCCTGGATAAGGAGGACAAGAAGACCCTGTCCTATCAGGTGAGAGACGACGCAATACAACCGCTTTTTGTCGATTTATGTGTTAATACAGAACGTGTTAAATTCACATTTCTTTTGTGAGTCCAGGATGGAAAATGGAACATTGAAGAGGAGCCCAAGGAAGATAAGGATGGAGAGGATGATGAAGAGGGACAGAGTGGAGATGATGGGGAGTCAGAGGATGAGGATGAGGAGGAGGAGGAGGAGGAGGAGGAGGAAGAAGAAGATGGAGATGATGATGAGGGGGAGGAGGAAGAGGGGCAGGAGGGCAGCAGTGAGGATGAAGATGGTCACTCTGACCTGGAGTCTGAGCAAGAAAGCGAGGATGAGGAGACAAAAGAGGACAGCGCCAAACCGAGTCTGAGCGAAGAGGAGATGAAGGCCCAGCAGGAAGCGGCTAAAGCAGAGCTCCCATACACATTTACTGGTAACTACACAGTACATGTGTACGAAAACTATGCTCAAAGAAGCCTGTCTTTTCTTTTGGAGTTGATCTTTGTGTGAGACGTTGCTTAGATGAGTATCGTCAGCATTCTCCCGTTTTAATAATGTGTTTTACTTCTTCTCTCAGCTCCGGAGAACTACAGCGACCTGACAGACTTGCTCCATGGCCACACCCCCGACAACCAGCGCCTCATCGTGGCCAGGACTCAGAAAAGCAACCACGCTAGTTTGGCTGTAGGCAATAAGCTCAAACTGCAGGTAAACTACAGAGCAGGCGATACGTTTCTGTAAGCGCGGTGCATTTGTCTCTGTAGCCAGTGTTTAGGCTGCGTTCGCGACCGTAAAGGACTTAACATGTTATCTCTGTTTGTCTCAGAAACTGTTTGGCTTCTTGTTGGAGTACATCGGAGAACTGGCCACCCGGAGTCCACCTGAACTCACCACCGTAGATAAGCTCATACCGTGAGTTCACAAAGTTTCTCTCTGTCTCTAGTTTTAACCGCTGATTTAAATATGTGGTCCTCAAAACAAAACATATCTGATCATTCCTGCACTGTTTCTCTCTCTCTCTCTGTATCTCTGTGTAGAGAGTTGTACACTATGTGTCAGATGTTTCCAGAAGCAGCCTGTAAGGCCATGCAGAGCATCCTCGGAGACGCTGGTCATAGCACGGAGGAGGTGCTGGAGGTCAAAGGGCACATTGCTTTCCCAACGCTAGACATGGTATGGATTATTTGATACCATTAACAAGTCCTCTTTGTCAAGGGTGTAGGTTTGGAGGAAAATATACTGTTCTATAATATCTATTCATATATTTACTACAAATACTGATTTATCTTTGTTTAATTCTAGTGTCTTGAATCACATTTTTAAAACTGAAAAACATAAGGAGATGGTAAAATGATTCTTGGGATCAAACGACAGTATTTGTTCCTCATTCTCTCCTCTGTCTGTGACAAACAGCTACAGCGTGTGTGTGTGTGTGTGTGTGTGTGTGTGTGTGTGTGTGTGTGTGTGTTCTTGTGTTTGTAGCTCATCTACCTGAAGGTGACAGCCCTGCTGTTTCCTACCTCAGATTTCAGACACCCAGTTTCAACTCCGGCGCTGCTTTACATCAGCCAGGCTCTCACCAAGGTACACAGTCTGTTTACTGTCTGTGTCGTTAGATCAGTGTCTGTATTGTTCTCTGACTGTTCTTGTCTTCCTGCCTCTCGAATGGGATTTCACAATTTCTCATTCTGTTTGAACCCAGCCCTTCTCTTCTCATTAGTCACCCTTTTTTGTGTTTATTTCCATATATACTCCTCAAACATTTTCAATTGGAAGTTTTCCAGGTTATGCAGTTGTTTTATTTCCACTGCTGCAGCTGAAGCACTCAGTGTTTACACGGCCGTTATATGAAGTGAAAAATCAATGTGGCTGGACAAATGGATGCTTTGTTTTCAGCACTAACGCCATGAATCACACCCGTGTTTCTTTTACCTGTGATTTGTACGTCCTTAGTGTCCAGTGAGATCATTACAGGACGTGACGTCGGGCTTAGCGCTGTGCTGCCTGGGAGTGGAGTACGTCACTTTTTCAAAGCGCTTCCTGCCCGAGCTCATCAACTTCCTGTCTGGAACGCTGCATCTGGCCGTGCAGGACAAGACCTCTATAGGTAGCCGCGTGCTCATCTGAAACGACACATTTACACAATTCTAGCGTGCTTTTTTTTTTTTGTGTGTGTGTGCCAGCATTGGTGAGGTGCAACAAGACTTTGACGTTGTGTTGCAGGTTACACTGTGGTGCCGCCCTTTAGGCCATCGGGGAAGTGCAGTGATCTGCTGGTGTTGTCGGACTCCGAGTCCCGCAAGAGCTGGACAAAGAAGAGCCTTCCATTGTCTGCGACCCAACGCCTGGAACTCAGAAATGAGCCGGACAGAGATCACCACAGGTAGGAGGGGAAGATGTTTTTTTTTATTTAAAGGAATAGTTCAACATTTTGGAAATATGCTTATTTTCTTTCTTGCTGAGAGTTGGATGAGATGAATCAATACAACTGTCTGTCCATTAAATATGAAGCTAAAGCAAAGAGATCATTATCTAAGCTTAGCATAGCATGAGTGGGAATAGGAAAGCAGCTAGCCTGGCTTTGTTCAAAAGTGAAAAGAAATCCACATTTGAGCACTTTTAAAGCTCATTAATGAACATGTTCTACTCTTCAGTTATTATGCTGAATAAACTAGGTAAGCTAACCGTAACATTGAACAATCAGCAAAACATTTTCTTCATCAATGTGATGCACATCTGCATATTTTTCCACATGATTACTATTAACCAATGCTTTTTCCTACCAAAAATATATATTAGCTTTGGAAGATTCCCACTTGATTTGTCTCAGGCAGCCAAAGTGTCATTATTAGCTTCTGTTGAACTTTAAAAAGTATATTTGTACAGAGTGAGGACTGTAGGTTTTGTTCCCCATCTCTTCCATTGGAGAAACATTGTGTGTCTTCTCAGCCTGTGTGGACAGGAGGAATAATTAACCTATCCAGGCTGATCAGAAAGCTTTGGATGACAAGAACACTCTCGTCATTTCTTTATTCAATTACTGTCCATGGTTTATGTGTTCACTGTCCCAAAAATGATTTCTAAATGAAAGCCTCCCCAGACGTTGTTTTGTATAAACCGCTGACCCCCAGAGACATGGCATTCAGAAGCAACACATCTCAGGATGCCTTAATTGGCCATTCAGAGTAGAGTATGAAACAACACCATCTAATAACACCATGTAATAACACCATGTCATAACAGCAGGGAACACTGGTCTGGAGACAGTTAGATGCCCAGAGAGAGAGAGAGAGATGGAGATGAAGTGTGTGCATGTTTGTGGGCTTCCACTGTTTGTTTTATTTTCTTTAAACAATTGCTTCACAACATATTATTAAAAATGCAGTGGAATAAATGTGTGATGAGGGTCGTTGTTAATGTACGAGTATGAAAGCTATGAAGAGCCATCACACGGTGTTTACCTGCACAGACTGTGCTGCTCAGAGCTGATACATCCACTCTTGTGACTGTGATGAGTCGCCAGTGTGCTTTCACACAGCAGCTGCTGTGTGGGCACAAAGCAGAGCTTGTAAACAGGCTTCAGTGCACGGGCGGCGAGTATATACATTTTTATTTGTACTCAACTAAAACTGATACTCATAACATGCCATGAACCGCTCTGACCCAAAACTCGAGCACAGTTATGTTGGAGACGGTTTAATTTGATTAAACGTATTGACTATTCGTCAAAGAAAGTGAAATATACCTGTGAGTGACAAAGAACAAACCCCAATCTTAATAAATCCCAAACTATAAAGGTGAGATCTGTCTCTCCGCAGGTTGATGTGTCTGTCTACTTGCCTGGACCTGGTGAAGCGATGCTGTCTGCTCTACAAAGACCTCACGTCCTTCGCGTGCGTCTTTCAGCCAATCGGAGCGCTGCTTTCCAAACACCTCTCAGCCCAAACCTTACCAGAGCTTTTACAGGTTGGTGCCAAAGAGAGTTTTTATACGGCGAGGTCTCGCTTTTTGTCGCTAGAAGTATCGGATTCTCAGTTTCTCCCTAATTGTGATATTTGTTGCAGGAGCTCCGCGCTGAGATCCTGGAGAGCATCGGCAGTGCTCCCGTGACTCGCAGTCGGCTGGTTTTAGAGAGGAGGAAGCCGATTCCTCTGAAGCTGCTCACACCCAAGATTGTTGAAGTGTAAGATGTAATCCAATGAGTCCAAAACATCTGCTAAAATGAATTTCCTCATCTGGAAACGTGAGATGAAACATGCACATTTGCATGACCGCAGCATTTGCTTTAAAGACCTCATTTGCTTCTTTAATATTTGTCAGGTTGGACTATGGAAAGAAACGTGGCAGCACCAGAGAGGAGAGAGAGAAGGAGCGACTGAAGCACAAGTACAAGAAGGAGTTTAAGGGCGCTCTGAGGGAGATCAGGAAGGACACGCGCTTCCTGGCCAGAGAAAAGCTCAATGAGGTCATGGACAGGTACGGATAACGTAGAGTGTCCATGTGGAAGAGAAACAAGAATGTTTCTGTGAGAGAGAAAAAAAAGCCTTTAACTTGTTGCGCGTTCTGTGTTTCAGAGATTCGGAGAGAAAGAGGAAAGTGAGGGAGCTCTTCGGCAGCTTGGCCACTCAGGAGGGAGAGTGGAAGGCCCTGAAGAGGAGGAAGGAGAAGGGGAAGGGGAAGTGAAAACACAGAATCTCACTCATCGTATTTCTTTCCGTCGTCTGTTTCCTGTCAAGTGGACGTCTCTCATCCAGATGTGGATAACGGTCCTGTTCAAGGTTGACATCTGTGGAACTAGGAGCCGTTTTGTACTTAGATTCTTTTTTTAATTGCGTGATGGGACAAATTCAACTTCCTTGTCGCAGCATTTTATAGTGTTTGACAAATAGCTGTCAGAAACAAACACCCCAAGTTGTCACATATTATGATGTAGGCGTTTGATGCGAATATCGGATACTGTTGTTGGAAGTGTCAGTCAACACAGCAGTTAATACTCGGTTTGCATTCTTCTTGTTTTACCACCAGAATCCATCACCACAATGTGCTTACAGGCAGGAAATAAATGAGTCTTTATGTTCTCTGCTTTCCATCCTCCTTTTTTCCAGTCAAGCTCAGTTTTATTCCCATCATGATAAAAATGCATAAAGTCAAATGCTATGGTAGAGAGGATTGGTACTGTTCTATTACATAAAGCTTATGGATCGTTCAGTGGGCGTTCAGATGCTCCCATCATTTCCCAGCTGCTTCTCTCTCTAACTGATTTATGTGCGATCAGATGCAATGCCATGTTAGTGTAGTTGTAATACAGACAAGTATATTTCTCAATGATCAAAAGTGGCGATGTGAGGGCACCAAAACTCAGAATCATGAAATAAAGCAGAAACAGACGTCACGTTGTCACAGTAGCCGTCTCTGCGTGGAGCTGCGATGAGCAGTAACGAGGAGCCATCGGCTACTTTGAGTCGGCGGGGATGCTCCAGGAAACGGCAGCTGACAGGTGTGGACTATAACGAGCGAGGAAGTGCACGCCTCTCTGCAGGGTTCATTAGTAAGACATCGAAGTGAAAAGTAGAGAATTAGATGACTCACTGTGTTCCTGGGAGTGCTGCTCTTTAGGGAAACTGTTGGGAGGGATTCACAAAGGCTGTTTACACCTGGAGGAAGTGTGGCTCTAAACATGCTCTCAAGTAGTGGTAAAAAAGATGTTCTGTGGTTGTAGATGGATTTGTAGTGAGCAACATGTCAAGGGACACGTGGGACATCTGTTAAATGGAGCTGAACTGTCGGAGTTGTTTGCAAGGACAGACCTTTGTAAGTGCATGTGTTGCTTGTCTTTCCCTCTGCTGCTTACAGCACACACCCAAGGCCAACGTGTTCTATTGTAATAACACGCTGGTTGGTTCAGTGGCTGCATGCAGGATTATCACCGCCTTTAAACCAAATGCCAAGAGACATATTTCCCCCTGATGAAAATACCAGTATATCCAATCATGAACCCGTTGAGGCCAAAAAAATCTTGGCAGATATCGAAATCCCTAAAACAGCAACCCATTATTGGTGCACATGTCCCCCAGAATGAGCAAAACTACAGCAACGACACCTTTTCTTACTTAGTTTTATTCAACACAACTCCAAATAAATTAATTTTTGCAGAGGTTAAGCCGAGTAGTTATACATGCTCTTGATTTCCAAAAGTCCATTCAGTATGAGATATTTGTCACAGCGGTGATAAATTAAAAAAATACAATATGAATGCACAAATAGTTCAGCACTTTTTTTTAGTCCACCGCGAAATACAGTGACAGTACACAGACAAAAATAGAATATCATTACACTTCCATTTCAAACAGATCACTGTAAATTCATCATTAATATAGAGACACTTAGGTGCTTGAAGTGGTGTATTTCAATGTTTGAGCAAATGACATAGCCACACAAGTGAAGACAACACACATATAGACCCACACACACACACACACAGACGTTTACTCACTAATCACAGCCGGTCACTTTAAGGACTGATGTGTTAAAGGCACACACACATACTCACACAACATCTCTCATTCTGTACATTTACCCACACACTGCTGTACAGACGTATGCAACAACACACACACACACACACAGATGTTGGGCACAGACTCCATAAAGCACCAAAAAACGAGGCACAGCGGGACTTGGCAGAGCGACATGGAATGTTTCGGTCGTTGATCATTGGTCTCCGATTGTGAAGCTCTCAATCAGTTGTCGTCGGTGTCGTCCTGAGAGAGAAGAGGGACAAGAGGTGGGCGCTGAGTTTGCTGTCCTTGAATGAAGCATCAGCATACAGCGGGGATGATTATAGAACCAGATGAGGTGATGTTACGACACCTATTAAGATGTGTTCTTTGTCCTTAACAAGTAAGAAATGTTCATTTGTTTTTCAGCTTTGGAAGATAATTAAACAGGTTTGGGAGACAATCCTGACTAAAATGTGTGCAATTATTACACATTTAGGATGACTTTATATTCCAGTTTTAGGCTGATGAGAGAAGAAGAAATCTCCTCAGGTGTATTCAGATTATAGTGGTGTGAATTTAATCGTACCACTGTTTTTTATGGGAGGAAAAACACGCAGTAAAAGTAATTTTTGGCATTGCATCAAACACTTGACAAACACCAAAATGAGTGTCAAACACCAAAATAATTGAAAAATGAAAATGCCAAACATGTCCCTTGTGATGCACAAGGGTTAAACAGTCTGTCTTCTCTATCACATAAACTGTTCCTTCTTTAACTTTGAAATGCGGCTTCATATTATAAATAGACTTTTGCTCGTGGAGTCTTACCTCCGTAGCCTCAGTCGGGTCCGTATCAACCGGTGACTCTGCCATGTCCTGTGCTGCTGAGGCGTCATCACTCTGGGAAAAGACAAAAAGGAATAGCTACTTACTTTTACTCTGAATATGATTTTGCTATATGCATGATCTCATGGGAGTTACTGTCTGTTTAATGTAAAAACATGGGGACCAATTTGGGAAGCCTGTATATGCATTTTCACATTTTTTTGAGAAAACAATGAATAGAGAAAATAATCAGCAGATGAATCTAAAATGAAAACAATAATTAGTTGCAGCCCCCAGACACAAACATCTGGATCATTTATGCAACATTATATAACACAAGTTTAAAAGGTAAACAACACAGAATTCATCCCGTTCCTGCTTTGTCCCTTCATACATTAAGAGGCGCTTGCACTCATTTCATAACGATCATTATGATTGGTGGTCATTTCCAGAGAGTGGGCTGCTGAGAACGAGACGAGACATGAAGGGGAGGTGAGGGTGTGTGTGTGACGCCCTCCACACCGTGTCGCTGAACTGACCTTCCTTAATGGGGAGCGGTCACAGTGCGCTGACGTGCGCATGCGTGTATATGTGTGGGACACGCTCACCGGCGGCCGACATAACCTTAAACCACTTACTGCACCTTCTACTCCTGCTGTTGCATTTAACGCCACCCAGCGAGCCTCCACCTGGTCACCCAGCAGAGCTAGAGACATGTGTGCTCATGTACACACACACACACACACACAAAACGCACAGCTGGACTGCCAATAGACAACACCTCGGCCAAAAGTTAAAGATTTGTTCGCTTTTCAGGACAAATCAAACCTAAAATATCTTAGTAAACCACCTTCCAAATCAAAATCAAAGTAACACCTGGCCTCCATTCTGCATTGTTTCAACGGTGAAATTGCCTCCGGGGACGTGAAAATATGGCAGCCTCTTTTATTGCATGTCGCTGAAAAGACCTGAGCAATAAGTCGAGTTGTTGTTGGCCATTTTCTATTTCCTGTCGCGTCTCCTCCTCAGGTCCCCACCACTCCACCTACCACGCTCCATCTCATTGTCTCTTTCCTCTCCTTCTACCTCTCTGGCTTTTGCTGTCTCCTGGTATGAGTCACCAGCAGCTGATGAATCGGAGAAACAACTAGATGAGATTAATCAGACTCTGCATCCCACCTTCCTCTGTGTGTGTGTGTGCGTGTGTGAGAGAGACAGACACACAGGAGACCATCTTAGATATGCTCTCTCAACCTGGCATCAATTTTTTAATCAAATCAATATTTAATGGCTAATGATGGTTAAACGAGCACAAGCTGCTGCCGTCTGCGTGTCAATCTCTCGCTGGGAATACCAGGATTTTATTTTTGTGTTTAGTTCTCTCTGTTTGTCCACCATATCTCCATCAGTCATGCGCACTCTGTGTCTGTTTGTCCATCTGTTTGTCTGTGCTGCCTGCCAGTTCGGCTCGTCATCCTCGTAATGAGGCTGATCTCATTCCAGGTGGAGCTCCATCAGTGTTTTATCCCTCAGGGTGAATATTAGCCATCTAGCCGCCTTAATATCGTAAACCCCTTTGTGGGAAAATACCACAAGCATCGTTTGATCGTGAAATCAAATGCAGCAAATGTCAGCAATGAAGGATGGCACCAGTAGTGGAAAAATTATTTGACTGCTTCATTAAAAGATCTGCTTGTAGAGGTGTCAGTTGTTGCCATTGGCAGGCAAATAACTTGGTGATTTCTTTGGTATCTTATCTTTTTTGTCTTGTACTTTTCACAGATCGCAGCCAATTGAAGCACAGCTGAAGACGTGCGTGTGCATGTGTGCTGTTATCTCTTGGTGTCTAAACTGTGTTAATTAAGAGGCGGGAGATCGAGCATCACAACAAACATTTCAACAAAGTGTCCAAAGGCCCAGGGAAATGTTTGATTGGCTTATCATTTGCTGCTACTCACAACGATGTCACGAGAGACGCGGGTAATTACAGGCAGATTTAGTCGTCCTCTCAGAATCACATCCGGTTCTCACACCTTATTAATCCAGATACAAACCACAGGGTCGTGTAACTGCGATGGTTTGAGACAAAGGAAGAACAGTGTAGGAAAACGAAAGCAGAGCATGAAGGCCATCTGCTCCCTTTTGTTGCTCTGCCTGCACTGATAGATGGTGTAAAGTAAAAGTAGTGATTAAGGGATAGTTACTCAAAGCTTTTGTTTACATTCAGTGTTTCTCACCAATACCCACAGCAGGTATCCTTTAGGTCTGACAAACCTTTTGAATTCTCATTAAAAAAATAAAAATAAAAAAAAAATGTGAACATGTTTACAATCATGTTTACTTGCAGTCTTCTTTTTGGTGAATTGATTCCCTTTTTTTTTTTGCACTTAACCAGTTGTCGATCAGAGTATTGTCGTGAAATGATCGAGTGTGCATCGCTTCCTTGAAATGGTAGCTATAGCCCCGACTGTATCAAAAAAAAAAATCGACATGAACAGCTGTCAAAATCTTCGCTAGAGGGCAAGAAAGAAAAGGAGAAAGGAAAATCACGCTTCGTGTTTGACTCGTGTCGCAGCAGTAAATTATTTGCTGCAGTAAACTGCCCTTACCTCCTCCTCCTCCTCCTCCTTTGGACAAACGATGGCCTGAATGACAAGACGAACAATGCTGGGAAGCTAACAATGTGCAACGGCTTTCATTTCAGAGAGGAAAGACAGGCAGTAGATATGAGAAGTGATGACAAATGACTCAAGGTAAGGAGGCCATTTTGAGTTATAGCTGGCAGCCACTGTGGAGAGATGTGCTGTGCTGCAAAGATGCGTTATTGTATATCCATGTCTGGACAAGTGTGAGCATACTGCAAGTGTGGTCAGACGAGCACAAGTTGCACTGGAATTTTAATTCTCCCTTTTGTGTAAGGAAAATATAATTATTTCCTTATTCTGTATATATATTTTTAAATATAAGATTAAAAACTGGTTTTGGACATGTTTTTTGGGAACTGTTTAAATCCCTACACGGAGTAACAGAGTACAGAATCAGTAACGTATGAAGAGCTCAGATCACTAAAGCAACAGCTAACAACTTCCGCCCTGTAGCTGGTTAGCTGCTTTTGTGGCTGTTAGAATTAAAGTGATATTATGAACTATATTAAGTGCCAGGCCACAAAAATATTCACCAATCACAGATCAAATCGGACCTCAAAATTCTCACCCGCACATGAATGCACTACTGTAGAGGGCGGTATTATCAACAGAAAAATAGATCAAACTTATTCATTTTGGTACACATTTGAACCCAAATAAATACATGTCAAGTCAAAACAAATACAAATGATGGCCTAGATATATACTGATTCCTTAAAAATGAAAAAAAAAAAAAAAAACATTGAAAAGTGTCTTCCTTACTTGTTTGCCCGGATCCTTCTTGACCAATCCAGTGGCAACGACAATGTTGCCGGCTCCCTCCACCGTTTTGTGGGCCACGGCAGTCACCCCGGTGACCATGGCTCCACCCACCTGTGACACTCCAGACACGGCTGTATGGACGAGAAGAAGAAAGGCATTGGAGAAGGGTGCATCTCTATAGAAACCCAACACCAGTCTGAGGATTAGCATGGAGAAAAATAAGCATCTCAAAATACATGGATCCATCGTGATTAAAGGGATTTGTAGATGTTAGTGAAAGATATTGACAGGAACGTTTATGCTTAACATCATATTGATTTAATACTAACACATTGCTTCGATGGGTGTGCTAAAGGAACAACCATAAAGTCAGGAAACAGAAATATTTTTGGAAATGTGCAATCCAACAATTAGGTTGGACAAAAAGCTTGTGCTCTTTCTTCTTTCAAATAGTCTCATGTTATAAATAGTGCTATTGCTTGAATATAGGATATTAAGTAACATTAAGAAGGATGAAAGTTGTCACGTCGAACAACATGGGGGAGGCTACATTCTGCATTACTGCACCTGGAGTAACGCTTCTAGTTGGAACGCCCTACAAAGCGGTTTAAGACTGGATCGCCACCTGTCGCGTCATTTGGCTAACTGATAAAAACCTTGGGAACAGCCTGAGGCACTTTCCTTTCACTTCACCGGGTTTCACCCCACCTTTCACTGTCTGAGCGCTGCATTGTTGTGTAATGTGTGGTTTTGCATATCAGTATCTGATCCTGTCCTTCTTGTAACTTTTATGTAAACATAAACTGTTTTGGAAAGGCGTGTCGTAAATATACATTTTCTTTTAATTCAGTGAGGCGTCATTCTTCAGTCAACGGTGAAAAAGTCAATCAGTACAGATATTCTCTTGATATATCCATTCAGAACAAAGCTGCTCGATCTGCATGTGCTAAATGTATTTACACCAGTGGTTCCCAACCTGGGGATCAGGGCCCTAACAAAGGGTTGACAAGTTCAAATTCGAGGGGATGCGAGACTATTAGCAGTATAGGACTACAGAAAAAAACAACACTTATACAACCAGTGACATGGGGTCATAAGTATAGCTTTATTTTAGAGGGCAGCAAGCCAAAAAAAGGTTGGGAACCGAATGCTCTGTACTGGTGGAACGCATTTACACATAATGATTAATCACAACTAAGATGCACTTTGATATAAGGCATCATACAAGGACCTCCTAAAAACAGATTATGCAGATCATACGGTCTAATGTAGGCTGGTATCACTGAGAAAAAAAAAAAATATATATATCCTCCCTCACTTAGTGGCTAAGACACTTTGTATAACCACATTTCCAAAAACACTCACTTTACTCGCGGCTATGTTACAACAATACAGCCATCTCCCTGGATGCCTAGAACAGGAAGTCTCCCCCAGGCTCCTCTGCTTGTTATGTATGACAAATGGCGGGGCCGGGCCCATGGGTGGGTGTTAGGCAGGTTGTGTGGAGTAAGACGGTGAAATAAGACACCTGCAGAGTTACAGAACATCTCTCTTACTGACCACCTGTGGATCCAGTGAGATTACTCTCTTTCTGCTTTTATGTCAAAGATCTATTGTGTAAAAAAAAGCAGCTGCAGTTTACAAAATGCGTAAATTAATACACTTTGTTTTTTTCAGACCAACAAGAGAAATGGAACAGATGCATTAAAGCCTGAATTAATAAATGATGTTACCTGTTGTGACTCCATCCTTTGTCTTGGTACCTGAAAGGATGCAGGTGAAGCTCAATTAGTCAGAAAATATGAACAAAACAAAAAATGAAAAATAAATGCACTTATTCATTCAGGCTCAGAGTGAGTGTTGTTGCGTAATAATAATGATTGCAACATATTCACAAATCAATTGAATTCCCAGCACTCACCGACAAACATGACCCCATCTTTCGTCATCTCAGCTGCTCCACTCACTCCCTGCTTGGTTTTCTCCGCCACCAACACGACCCCATCCCTGGCTTTGGAGAACCCCTTCTTGAACACGTCCATGGCTGCTCGATCGGCTCCCAAATTAGCACGCAGCTGTGAGGACGTCAAATAAATGAACAAATAAAATTGAGACGGCACTCCCGGATCGAAGCGTGTGACACCAAGACACTAAACCGATGCCACCGCCCTACGGTTCTCTCTGACGGGCTTGGTGGAGCCGATACCACCGTCTGAAATGTTTGAGCAGTTGATACAAGCTGCTGAAAAATGCCACCTGTAACTGATTACAGCCCAGCTGAGAAACCATGAATGGATTTACTATCCATTTCAAATTTAAAAGAAACTGTTACATTGCAGCGCGATTAGAACATAAAATAATGATTTAGCTGTTATTCTTGAATAAAGGATGTTTAAAAAAAAGAAATATTGTAAGAGAACAATAAATAAAAGAGCTGCGGTTTACGCACCTGTTCGCTTCAACTTCCTTTAAACCGAATGTGGTGAGTCTTCCGGGATGACAGCGGAGATTCCCCCAAAGGGCAGTGAAACCGGTTTATTCTCTCCGAACTACAACTGTACTCTCAAACACGATCTCGTGTGTGTGTGTGTGTGTCTGTGTGTGTGTGTGTGTGTGGTTCCTAACAGACAGACGCTCCACAGGTTTGACAGACGCCTCCTACGTGATGGAGAAAGAGCGATTAAACCCCGTGATGTTGATGCGAGAGAAGAGATGCTCACACACACACACACACACACACACACACACTCACTCACACAAACATTCACACACAAAGATTACGTAGCCCTTTCTGTACGTGGGTTGCCCACAGCATGTAGGTGCAGCACGGCACTTAAAATCGTCAGCTGGCTGAATGCATCTGCGGCCAAACTACTAATTAGTGACAGTATAATTATGCAAAATAACACGACTGGGCTGATGATCACTGTTTCAAATGTGAGTAAGATGTCCCCAAAGGAATCTTTTGCATTGTAGCCTAAATCAAAAGGTCATGTTGGAATTTACTTTAAGAAGGTTACACTCATTGAAGTCCATTTTTTTTTCAGTTTTTACTATATTTTGGATTTAAAAAACAACGACACACCTTTTAATATTCATATTGCCAAAAGGCACATTTTAATAAAGGGTTTATGAGATGTAATTAATGGATCTGGACCATTTACCTTTATTGATGCCTTATTAGACAGTTATAACCGCAGATTTGCTGGCTTAATAGAAAGTGAAAAACCCAAGAAGTATTATTTATGGATTACAAATATTTATATCTTTATTATTATCAAAAAGGAAGGATAAATACAACCTGCCAAAGCCCAATTGTTCTTATTAATGACTTATAACCAAGTTATAAAGCTTAACTAATCAAGGCTACAGTTATAAATGTTGATAAATCATTAATAAGGGTTTTTAATAACCAAGCTGGCAGTTTTAAGTTTTAATAAGTTGGTGATTAATGAATTTTGGTCCAGATTGTCTCTTTTTTAGTATAAAAGGAGTTTTCCCAGCAACAGCTCTGTTAGTAAATTATTTATTAACCATTAAGTTACATGTATAAGCCCTTTATAAAGGGTGCCTTATGACAAAGTGGTATCATATGGTAAACCTATGAACATTTGTTAATGGCTTAACAACATTTGTAACTACATTATCACCAAACAATTAAGGATACATGGAGAGCATCAGCAAATAACTGCCCAACCTTTAATAAAGCCATTAGTTACAACTGATACGCTATTATAAAGCTTACCTTATTAGAAAGTGGTACCCATGTAAACGGACACGTTGCTATACCTGTACTTATATAATTTGTTTGATGGGATGATATGAGTCAGATAATCTTTGATTTTCTTGTGACCTTTTCTTCTGGTTCACCCATGTCTCATCATCACTAAGCCTGACTTCCTGTTCAATAGTTCCTGTATATTTGAGGTTATTTGGTTGTCATGTGTGTATTTCATAAATCTAACTATCTAGGCAAACATTTATGGAAATTCATCCTCAGTGGTGGTGGAACAATGTTTTTGTAGTTTATTCGTAATGTGATACACTAATTGAAAGTGCTTTGCATAATGCATTAAAAACATACAAAAGTATTTTGGCAATGTGTCCTCATTTGCATTATATACACAGAAAATACGCAAATAAATAGCATGTAAAGACACAAATAAACCAGAAACGTCCATCACTTCTTCTTCAAAGTTTTTTTATGATTCATTTTCCACAGTATGGTTCATAAACTATGGTTAACGATTCAATTCAACTCAATTCAATGTGGCTTTATTTGCATTAAAACAATGTTGCTGAAGAGTCAAAATAAAAAAAGCAGACATATATGGATATTAACATCTTGAATTAGTTGCCTCTGTTTAGGTAGGGCAAAAATATTTCCTGTAGCATTTCACTCTCCCGAGCCCATTGTTTGGGAACTTTTACCTTTACCGGCCAGATAGTGGGGCACAGGGAGAGAAAGAGCCTTCTATGAGTCTACCAGAGCACCGCTCCCCAGCATTTTGACAGCAAAATATTTCACTGCGGCCATTGTTCTGCATGCTAAGTGGTTATGTGTCCAGGCGCTGCATTGTTGTGGCAAACAATCATTTTCTGTGGAACGTATTGGTGTTGTATATGTAAAAGGCCGTGTGCTCAAAGTGGTGTGGCACAACAGAATATGGATTAAATGAAGTATGAAATAAATAAAAAATGGTGCCAACTGAGTACTGAATGGCATTGAAACACATACATAGCCTACTGTCCGAGAGGCATTAATGAAAATTTACATATAATGAAGATAGGGTTATTTGAATCGTCCCCCTGATAGACTGGACGATATGGTGAAAGCACTAAGAAATCAATTTTCCTCCTGAATGTTGCCCATTGAAACTCAGTGTTGGAGCTGGCATCTCCTTCTTGAGAAACCAGATGGCCGCAACACTTTCCCTACCGTTCTGTATCTCTCTAGTAGCCTATTCTCTCTCTACTCAGAGCCACAGTCCTTTCCACAGTCTGTTGCTATATGTTTTCTGCCTGTGAATCATCATCCACTATGAATATCCACAGCAAATGCCGTGGACATGTGGCCAGTAGGCCTAGTCGCCAAAATACAAATCTGACAAACAGGTAGGCTAAACCTAGACTGAGTGACATGGCTCATCTTTTGGATCCAAAACCGCAAAACCCCACCTGCTGGCAGCAGCATTTTGATTGTCCAATTCTGGATATTAATGCATGACATAAAACATTATCATTGTTGTTATCTATCATACAATAATTGGACAGTAGGCTAGTTTAAAAAATAGTGTTTTAAAAGCACTTTGCTCAGAGCCCAGTATATGTGGATGGCCGCACGCGCAATTTTCAAGTACCGGCTAGTGTGTGAAAACAACAATGCGCATGCTCAAAGCCGTGGGCAACGAAAGCGGATGTCACAGATTTTTTATTTCCAGGTGAGGTGAATTAGACCACCTGTTGCCACACTGCCATGTGATTTGCTGTTTGCCAAATTCTGATGTCGTCATTTGCCCGTAGTTGTCAGTATGGCTTTTAAAGAAAAATACCAACTGCTGTCAATATTATCTTCGACAGCACAAATGGGACAATCTGCGTTTTCTGATAAAAACGTGACATTAAACACCTCTCGGTGCACATCATCCGCAGTATATTGTTATAAACCAAACCGCTGGTAAAAAAACCCCCAATTATAACTAACATGGAGTTAAATGTTTAACTGTTAGCTTGTCAAGGAATATTCTTTATTGGCTTCCCGTGCGTTTTATTCGGAGGACATGGTGCCCGGTTATGAACAGACTTTCAGTATCTCAAGCATCGGTTTGAGAGGATTGACGTCACCAAACATGAAAGCAGCAGGACGAGGCGGCGGAATACGGGAATTGAGCAGCAACAAATTGAGGAGATCAGGTATGTGCTCAGTCGGATTACCACCTGTGTTAAACTGTGGGAAATGCCAAACAGCGCACCTGTCCAAGGTAGTTGTTTCTCCTCAATGTTGCACCTAAAATGCCACTGGAGATATCAAAGTTATGGAATATTGTGAAAGTGTAGAAGGCCTAGCGTGCACAGATATTGACAATAATGTATTTTGTGTCTTTGAGTTTAGCTACAACACTGCAATCAAATATACATTTCTAAGAAGACAACAGTAATAACAATGTCTGTCTTTGTAATTTTAACCATGATCATTATATGATCTTGAACACAGCGCAGTTGATGGTTTTATTCAGTCAAACTATGGAAATTTGTCAGCGCCACGGTGTACTGCACATGCGCGGAGATGCCCTTGATAAGCAGGGCTATTTTAAGAATACTAAACATTTATTGATTTGCTGTTTGTTGGTTGGTGTGTTGCAGTGCTCCTGATGTTTTAGCATTTAAGATAACAGAGTAAAGACACACAGAAGATTACCTAGACTTAAATTGTGTGCCTAAATAATGAAGCCTGAGCCAAACACTAACCTGAATCATTATCGGAGAGAAAGCATTAATGACTATAGACAGATGACTAAATTACATGGATCTTGCGTAACTAACAGTGTTTTGACATTTTAACTATTTCCCACCGCTGTCTAAGCAATGTGTCTGATTCGTATGAAAACACAACGCCTGTTAATGTGTTCCCACTGTGCTGTCAATCACATGCCAGAGAGGTGGGGCCATTAGGGCCCCATGTCGTTTATCACCAGCTACAGGGGACAGCTGCCCACAAGCTCATTTACAGGAACCTGATGGATCATAATGTCAATGTAGCATCGGCCCTTCTTCAGATTAACGCATGCAGACATCCTGTAATCCTCCCAGTGGTCTGGATGAGTGGTCAGATCACACGTGCAGGACATTTGGTGCTGGCCTTTTCTGTATATTTGTGTTTTAATTCTTGTGACCGGTGGTACTGGAGGAGAGGGCTCACTCTTTTGATTTGTTTTGTGTTGATATTGATTAAATCCTCTAAGCTTGTTGATATTGATTAAATCCTGTGAGGCAGCATGTAATTCAATCTCAAAATATGAATTATTTCAATATTATTTTGTTGAAATGGATTCTGTTGTTTGTCATTTAATTTGACCATAGTAAACAAAAGAACAGCGAGGGGACGGAAGGAGACAAATGGACAGACAGATAGCATTTGGGAATAGCTTGAGTAAGGTCAAACGGCTTTAAAATGAGATATAGTATTGAAGCGATTGTTGTGGAATATATATTTAAAATGAGCATAACTCACACATGATACACACACACATTCGTGTACTGACGCTGACAGATTGTCTCATCGGTGGTGATTCCAAACCTTTTTTTGTCAGACCTTCACCAACACCACTATATTTAGTCATTTAGTCATTACTTTAAGCTGTTTATTATCCATTGTAGATTTTTCCTCTGTTTACTTGCTTTTCACACACTCGTAGCTGCATCAAGGTGTTCTTACTGACTAAATATGTGCCCATTTATTTTCAAATACAATTTTTATTTTTATCAAATTTATAGAGCTGCTGCATCTTTCCACGTTTATACTCCCCGGCGAACAACCAATAACCTCTGGTTGGGAATCGTCAGATCTAAATGATTCAGCCAGACAGTCAGATCTTAACTTTGGGCTCACCTTATGCATATTTGCTGCCATTGACAGTGCATATTAACTCTTGGATATCATCCATAAATGATGGGTTTCTCTGAGACGAATGACTCGGTATCCATGACCCTGATCTGTGACTCATTTATTTTTTCTGTAAGAAAAAGAATA